AACTTTACTTCTGCGGGCGTTATAGTTCTAGGTATCAGCGATCATCATTTAATTTATGCTATCAGAAAACACTCTAGTGTTAAATCTAAGCCTATAACTATCAAATCCCGCAGTTATAAAAATTTTGATGAAACTTCATTCAAGCATGACATTGATGCTATTCCTTGGCAATACATAGTTTCCTTAGATGATCCTATAAATGCTTGGCAAATTTGGAAAAAGCTATTTCTTGATGTTGCTGATAAGCATGCTCCAGTCAAACAAAGAAGAATAAGGAAAAATTGTGCCCCATGGCTCTCTGTAGAAATCAAGAAATTAATATGGGAACGAGATCGATTGAAGCGTAAAGCAGTTTATACTAATGATGAAAATGATTGGGTCAATTTTAAAACAGCTAAAAATCTAGTTAACTATAAAATTAGAGATAGTAAAAAGCAATATTATAATTCTTTGTTTCAACTCAACGTAGGTCGAACTAAAGAAACTTGGAATGGTATCAACAGTCTTCTTTCTAAATCTAAAAATTCAACTACTATACCAAAAATCTTTCATGATGAAATCGAAATTACTGACCCAGTAACTATTAGCAATGTTTTTAACAAGCACTTCACTGAAATCGGACCTAAATTAGCAGCACAAATTCCAACAACTGGTGCGGCCTCTTCTAACACTCCGCAATGTAATGAAGTTTTTGAATTACATGAAGTTACTCCATCTCAAATAGATGGACTAATTTATAAATTATCGACTTCTAAGGCTAGCGGTCTTGATAACATTCTTGTTCGTTTATTAAAACTAATTAATTTCACTATTGTGGTTTCACTTACTCACATTATTAATCTAGTAATTCGCAAGGGAATTATTCCCGCTGACTGGAAGTGTGCCAGGGTATCAGCAATTTATAAACATGATTCAAAACTAGATTTGAATAATTATAGGCCTATTTCAGTCCTTCCAGTAGTTTCAAAAATTTTTGAAAAAGTTGTCTTTGACCAAGCATATGCCTTTTTAAACAAAAACAACCTTTTATCTGACATACAGTCAGGATTTAGACCTCTTCACTCAACGTTAACAGCTTTGGTTGATGTCACTGATAAATGGTACACTAACATGGACAGTCGGTTAATAAATGCTGTCTTATTCATTGATTTAAAAAAGGCTTTTGATACCATTGATCATAACATTTTACTACAGAAGTTAACTTGTTACGGTTTCAACAAAGAAGCGATTAATCTTTTTAGAAACTATCTTTCTGATCGTACTCAAATAACAGTTATTAACAACATACGATCTGATACTCGTAAAGTAACATGTGGAGTTCCTCAGGGGTCTATCTTAGGTCCACTACTGTTTTTAATATATATAAACGACCAACCTAATAGTGAATTGGTATCAGATGGGCGTTTATTCGCTGATGATACCAACTTGACTTTTGCGGACAGCAACCCTGACAAGTTGATTTCTGTTCTAAATGACGACCTTAAAACTCTCCAAAACTGGCTTAACCTTAATAAATTAAGCCTGAATGCGATTAAAACTAAATGTATGTTTATGGCATCCAGGCAAAAATTAAGTACTATTCCTGACGAACCTAATATTGCTATCGCCGGAAACAAAATTGAAAGAGTTAGATCTTATAAGTGTTTAGGTTTAAAACTGGACGAGAGTTTGACATGGGAGGATCATGTTTCTACTATAATCTCCAAAGTCTCCAAGGTTATTGGAGTTCTACGAAGACTAAAACCATTGCTCCCACAGTCAACTCTTGTCATGATCTATAGCTCTTTAGCACAGCCTTACTTTGATTATTGTAGTATTGTCTGGGATAGCCTAGGTAAGGGTCTTCGACAAAAGTTACAGCGATTACAGAATAGGGCTGCAAGAATTATTACTGAATCTGATTATAACATCCGGTCATCAGATATTTTAACATCATTGAATTGGACCAACCTTGAAACCAGACGTACCCAACAGTTCAAAACTTTTATGTACAAAACTGTTAATAATATGGTTCCTAGTTACTTGTCTGGAAAATTTACTTCCACGTCAATGATACACGAACATAGTTTGCGTGGATCTAATCATAAACTTTTTGTACCAATTTATAACATAACCTGTGAAATGGACCTCGTGTTTTAAATAAAGATGTCAATCAATCAATCAATCACTTATTGTCGACCCAATTTTAGTTGCCATCAATCTCAAAGCTTGTTGTTGTTGTTCGAACATCTGTTCACTATCGGATGTTGGATGTTGAAACTGACGATTATGGAAATAGACATTCCCGTACTGTGGACACAAACTTTGAACTGCATTCTGATACATCGCTGGAACAAAGTTAGGGTGAACTAATTGGGTTTGTTGATCCGTTGTATAACCTCGCTGATATATTTGTGTTGTGGGCACTTGGGGATTCATAAACGTGTTATTGTATGTTCCATATGGCATTGGAAACTGTTCAGCATTATATCTTGCATGACTAAAGAGTTCGTCTCTTCGATATAATTCTCTACATTCGGACTCCCGTCGCTCCGCTTCTTGGCGTTCCGCATCTCCTCGCTCCGCGTTTCGACTTTCCGCATCTCGACGTTCCGTTTCACGTTGTTCCGCATCTTGACGTTCTGCATCTCGACGCTCCGTATCTCGACGTTCCGCATCTCGACGCTCCGTATCTCGACGTTCCGCATCTCGACGTTCCGTTTCACGTTGTTCCGCATCTTGACGTTCCGCATCTCGACGCTCCGTATCTCGACGTTCCGCATCTCGACGTTCCGTTTCACGTTGTTCCGCATCTTGAAGTTCCGCATCTCGACTCTCCGTATCTCGACGTTCTGCATCTCGACGTTCCGTTTCACGTTGTTCCGCATTTTGACGTTCTGCATCTCGACGCTCCGTATCTCGACGTTCCGCATCTCCATGTTCCGCATCTCGACTTTCCGTATCTCGACGTTCCATATCTCGACGCTCCGCTTCACATTGCTCCGCATCTCGACGTTCCGCATCATCATAAGGTCCATTTCCCTCATGGTCATGACTCGTCATATTCAGTTCTCTGTTACCATCATCGGATATCTGATCATCACTATCGACTTCGAATTGTTCCAAGAGCTCAGCATGTGCTAACTTAGCTTCCATTTCTTGCAATTCCTTCCTTTCTGCAACCTCAGCGAATCGTCGTTTCCTTTCTAGTTCTAATTCTTGTCTTTGCATTTCTAGTTCTAAATGCCGAGCTTCCCTATCTAATTGTTGTCTTTCTTTCAGTTGCCTTAACTGCAACTGCAACTTGCTTCTACTGATGCCTGCATTACTTTGCCTTGACTTGACACTTAATGCAGGGCCAGACCTAGAAACTCTAGGCGAATGGGGTTCATTAATATCTTGAACAACAGAGTGGGCCTTTGGGGGCATTTGAACATTGCTGAGCCATTCAGCAGTACGTATAATGTGTTGAAACATCTTCTCTCTCGTCTTTTATTGCATCCATATTCAACCGTCCATCATTATCCCTTCTAGACCCCATATGATCCAAAAATACACCATTTATCACGGTGCAAGACTATTTATTCACAATAATCTAACTTTACTTGAAGAATTCAAGCTTCATTAAGCCACGAATATACACAAATAATCACACAATAGCAATAACTTACGAAGTAGTCAGAAACTTTGTTGTTCTTGAAGGGGTTATCCGAAACGCACCGTATAAATTTAATCCATAATTCATAAATCAATATATAATCTGCACAAAAGATCCCTTTAAGGTGGTTTCTATAGAAACAATACAAATACATTATAAACTACGCTACAACAAACAAATTACTTTACAAATACATAGAAAACAGGAAAAAAAACATGCAAATGTACCTGACTTTTGCCCTTCGATCCGAACGATCAAAAAATATAAAAACATGTGTTTTTGTCACGTGATGTCCTGCCTGCTCGCAGACGATTAGGCCCTATTTTTCGGGCTAGATCCTACACCGACGTTAGCGAAGGTAAGTTTGTTTTAATATTTTCAATATCGATGTATTGTTCGCTTTATATAATAATTGCTTTATTATAAACCGACTCTGTCTTTACACTCTTGTTTTTATCTTGAATATCAAGAACACAAGATGTCTATTTTCGGAATTTGTTTTATTTTATATTTTCTGAAGTTGTCTGCTTGTCGTGGTTATAAACCTGATCGTTGCCTATATATTAAATGAAAAAAGACGGCAATATTAAAAATGTTTACCAAAAAAAGAAGGCGAAGTTATTTGAATGCGAGAATTTGAAATCATTTGATTTCAAACTCTACGTTTTTCGATAAGGCAATTTAGTTTTATTAAAAACATATTAAAACTTTTCGTGAAGCCTTTGTGCCCATATTAGAACTTTTTGTGAAACTTTAAATTGAAGCTTAAAGTGCGTACCGTACATACTGTACCTTACATATATGTTTCGGAAATTAATAATTTTGTAAATTTAAAGTGATATTTTTAGGGGATTTTTTATTTGTAAAAATATTCTTAAAAAATTATCGCATTACCCTGACAACTACTTTAAATACATCATGTTCGGAAAATACAATGGTTTTCTCAGGAAGGCGAGGGTTTCAGCATGCATGTATTTTCTAGATATGATTATAATTATAATGACACCTTTTTGCATCGCCCGTTTTCCGCCTCTGGCTAGCGGACTGTTAATCATTGTACTAGATTGGGTTTACAACTTCTGGAAATTGGAATGTACGAAGGTCAGTGGGATTTTGCAAAACTTATTTTTTGGAAAAGGGGGTTACCTCGCTATCACTCGCCAATTGTGCAAATTCAAAACACTTTGAAAACCCATATTGTAGCATAGAACTTTTAATGAAACTTGTAAATAAATATTATCCATAGGATTTGGTTAACAAGGACATTACTACATAATTTAACGAGAAATGTAAACAAGTGGGAAATGTGATAAACCTCAGTACGTGCCCGCCTGACTACGAAGTCCAAATATATAGTAATACATTAGAACATCGACCCAGAAGCGCTTGCACATTGAGACTGATCATTTTTGGTGAATATGTTGAGATTCAGCTGATTTCCAAGATCTTCCCAATCAAGAACATTCCCAGCTCCTCCACCACAATTTTTTTGTCTGGACATACCACTAATCTCATCTTGTGTAAGTGAGCGATCCCAAACATTGGTCTGCGTAATGGTCAGAGGTAGGTTATTCTTAGCACTCACCGGAAACTTCAGGATCTCATTAATGTTACGTTTTGCAGCTCCTGCCACTATAAATTTCCCTCCCTTTTTCATTGTGTGCCCTGGATAAAGGAACCTGTTGGCTGAAATTGAAGTTTTTCCATGCCAGAACAATTTAGTCTTTCCTGAACTGCTTTCACGCGTAGCACAAAAGAAATTCCACTTGTTGGTATTGGCTCCTACATTTAACTTTACACTGTGCGATGACAAGAAAAAAAGGTGCCTATAAATTAAAACAGAGTTTAATTACAATAAGCACTTCAATTTTAGCAGGCATCGAAATAGTGCAACCTAGTCGAGAGTAGTCATGGAAAGGAGAAAGATACCAAACTATAATATGGAACATTGGTGATCAGATTAGGTATTAGGGCATTGAGAATAATTCTAGTACGGTTGACTCTGTTATGTTTGATGTACCGCGATGTTTAACTGGTGTATTGCTTAAAGGGGCAACTACCTCCTCAATCCCATAATCTCCTCAATCCCCTAGCTAACCTCCTCAATCCCCTAATCTCCTTCTCGCCAAGATAAAAGCTGTGCGTTTCTAGATGAGAAAAAAACTGCGAGCACTACTTAATGTAGAAAATGTAGGTATTACCGACACCTAATATAAGGATTAGCTGGATGAACTGCCAAAGTTGTCACACACCGGCCTGCACTCAATTGCAAATTTATACAAAAATATTTGCTGTTTAACGTGTGGAACATTTAATGATAAAATGTGCATGCTCGTTAAAGTGCGCATGTTTCAATCAGATCTTACGCCCCGTAAGCATGCAAGAGCTGTTTGGGGAACAAAACCCCGCCAATCGTATGTTGTCGGTTCAAGTAAGGCCAAAAGCTACTGTTAAAAGTAAATTAAAGTCTGACTTAGGCGGCAAATTTTATTATAAAAATATAAAAAGTTTAAAAAATTTTAAAAATGTTAATTAAAAAAACGACTTTTTATATATCTGAAATTAAAAATTGAAAATTTGCCGCCTAAGTTAGACTTTACTTTTAACAGTAGCTTTTGGCCTCACTTGAACCGATAACATTCATATAACGCTACTAAAGAACAACTTTGTACGATATATATATATATATATATATATATATATATATATATATATATATATATATATATATATTTTATATATATATATATTTTATATATATATATATATATTTATATATATAAATATATATTTAAGCAGAAAGATATTGTCTTCCGCGGCTAGGTCTTGAACTCGCGACCTTCGAATTATACTAGATCGACGCTCTACCAACTGAGCTACACGATCAGGCGGATTTATGCCTGGAAATTATGAACTATACACTGTCATAAACATACTCGTTTATACCAGAACTAGAAGAAATTGTGTAGTTCGATGCTGAATTTATATAAACGAGTATGTTTATGACATTCATTGTATAGTTCATAATTCCAGTCTTAAACCCGTCTGAACGTGTAGCTCAGTCGGTAGAGCGTCGATCTAGTAATTCGAAGGTCGCGGGTTCAAGACCCAGCCGCGGAAGACAATATCTTTGTGCTTGCGCTGGGTATGGAAATTATGAAATACACACCGGAAAATATTTTCTATATATCTATGTCATTATATATATATATATATATATATATATATATATATATATATATATATATATATATATATATATATATATATATATATATATATATATATATATATATAAATATATATATATACAGCTGGGTTATCAGAAAAAATGGAGTCGTCCTAAATATCCTTATTTCTATCGTAAAATATATACTACCATAGTTTCGTTTTGGGCTCAATTTAAAGCTTGTTTTTTATATATATATATTGTTTTTATATATATATATTGTTTTATATATATATATATATATATATATATATATATATATATATATATATATATATATATATATATATATATATATAAATATATATATATACAGCTGGGTTATCAGAAAAAATGGAGTCGTCCTAAATATCCTTATTTCTATCGTAAAATATATACTACCATAGTTTCGTTTTGGGCTCAATTTAAAGCTTGTTTTTTCATCTTTCGAATGAAGGGTTTCTTGAAAATTTTGAACGAAGGCTAATCGCAATTAAAGAATTTAGTACAAGCGCTCGTTTTTAGATGCTTCGAAATATTAATCTTCGAAGTCCCTTGGGGACTTAGTTAAAGGTAGTTTGCTAAAATTTAGAACGTTGTTGTTTAAAACTTTACAATCACCGTTCATAATGCCAAAGCTAACAATTCCGGAAAGAACATTCATTGTTGAAAAGTACTTCTAAACAAAAAGCGTTGTTGCGGTGTTATGACAATTTCAAATAGCTTTTCCAGGACGTAATCTTCATCGAGCGTTTGGCGTAATGTCAGCAAATACCGGCTGCATATGCATTGAATGGAAGAACCATCCCATAAAATTTAAATCGAAATAAAGGAAAACTCGGGAAGAAGACTTGTCTTGGATATGAGACAAAGAACGAACTTGTGCATGTGAACTTAGAAATGGAGGCCACGTTGAGTAAATGTGTACTTCCAACTTATTTTTTGCAACGTTTAAATAAATTGTGAATTCAACACATCTACGTTTTTTAATTTTCCAATTGCACTTACTTAAATTGACACAGCTCGCCAGCAATAACTCCAAATTTTATAAAAAAGCCGAAAGATCGCGATTTCGAACGGATGCAAGTATAAATGTCTAACTTTCATATTCGCTATGAAATTTACACTTTATATGAGGACTCCGTTTTTATTTATATATATTTATATATATATATATATATATATATATATATATATATATATATATATATATATATATATATATATATATATATATATATATATATATATATAATCAACTGTACAGAAAAGTTTGAATTACCCATAATAGAACTTTAACAGCAATGAAGCTTCTCCTTGTTTCTCATATCTTACTGCAAGATGAAAATGGGCCATAAAAGTTGAGAACACAGATCCCGAAGGCACGTAACCAAGAACTGTATATTCCTTTCCGAAATAATTCTGAGTGTAAGTGGGTAAGTTTATCCATAGACAGATTGTGAACGCAGAAAGTGTGGATGGGATAGTTGCAGACGTAGATTTAAGACCAATGCTTCCTTTAAACGTCAAGTCAAAATTACCTAAATAGAAAAAACGTTTAATTAATTAAAACAGGATGGTTTGAAAAAAGCTGTGCTACGTACTGCCGACATGAATCCGAATCAGTAGAGAAAATAATATATATTAATTAGTTCGAATTGTAAATGTTGACAAAATACAGTACAAGAATAATTCAAAAAATAGTTTCATAGAAGTTTAGACACTTACGACTGCATTTTTTGTTTTTATTTGGTACCATACCAGACGGACATTCCAATACGCAGTCTTGACCATTTTTTGCATACTTGCACGAATAACATTCAGATGGTAGCGGTGTATTTCCTGCTGGTGGACGACAACCTAAAAGGAAACAGGATATAAGAAATAGAAAACGTGGAGCCTGTGTCTCTATGGTGTGCAAACGGACAAGGGGAATGTTTGGGGAATACGAGAGAAGCGTGTAATTCTGTCGATTCGTTCGGATAACTCAATAAAACGCAATATAATTTTAAATCATCGCGTTCGTTTTAGAATATTTTTAGTAATTTTACACTCTTTTCCAAGAATATTTTTAGTAATTTTACACTCTTTTCCAACCATGCACCCTCCATCAATCATCAGACAGATACTACAGTCCATTAACGGACGAACTTCGCAGCTATCATCGAATCAAGCAGCTTTTGACACATCTGTCCCACTATAG